GATGTTGTTTTTCAGCACTTTGCTACTGGTTTTTCGCCAGGGTTTTTCCGTTGCCGGGTTGCATCATAAAGTCATTTAAGCATATAAATTGCACTTTTATGCTCCGCGCCTGTCACACAAACACAATTACTCAGACACGTTCCACGAAAACGGCAAGTGTGTGTGTGTGTGTTAGCAAGGATGAGAAAAAGGGGTTAGTGAAAGAGAAAACATAAGATACTAAACTGACGATTTAAGAACACTTGTCTTTAAAAAAATGCTACAATTTTGAAGTTAAGAAAAGTTTGCATTTGATAGAAAGTTTCCCAATAATCAAAACGATTTTCCAAGGATATCTTTTTAGACATTTATCATCACTAAATTTCCTCAAATTTTCTCAGAAGTTTACGTACAATTGATTAAGTAAAATCCCTAATGGCCATGCAATGCTTATTTACAGTGAGTCATTTGTATCTCCATTGCCGATGGCCTTAATTACACTTCTTTGGCGCTATTGTGAGTGCAACTTTTGGGGCATATTTCAGGCGTAGGCCTGCAGGGCTATCCAAACAGCAATGGGCTAATTAACATAGGGCGGCCGAAAAGGGGCGTGGCTGTGGCTATGGCAGTGGCAGTGAAAAGCGGGGATTCTCCGGTGGCACAACAAGCCAGAGTTATGCATTAATAATGCAATCGCCAGGCAGCCCAAAAGCCAAAAACGAGAGCAAGCTCATTTGGAGGCACACACATACATACATACGTAGCAGCATGGCCATAGGCTTTTGTCAGCCACTGTGTCGTCGGCATGTAGCGCACTTTTCTGGGCAACACAGTAGCAACAATAGCTGCCGTCTGGCAACAACAAATTATAATGCAATTGCAAATTCTCGTCGTTTGTTCATTTCGGTGTCCGAATGCGTATATGCATGGCTAAAATTTATGCGTTCCCTCTGCATTTCCTGCATTGACATTTACTTGGGGTTATTACCAATGCCAGTGGGCCTTCATTTCGCATAAATGCAAACTGCAAACTGCAAACTGCCATCCATGCAACACACCTCTCGTTCCCTGTCCCCAATATTATTGCGGTTTTCGGCATTTTTCCGCCAATTGTTTTCGAACAGGGCATTCAACACTTTTGTTCGGTTTATGCGGTGAACCGCATTTCCTGAAGGATCCTTATCGATTTGATAAAATAAAAACAAACTCACAATAACATCTTCATCTCTGCGATGGCTTTTAACTTTACGCCAAAAAGTTGCCTAGAAATTCGTCTTTTGTTTTATTTTTGAAAGCTTAATGGCAGACAATTCAAGGAGGAAAACATTCGCCCAGGGGAAATTGAGAAGACAGACATTAAGTGTCTGGCTTAATGCAGAATATGCAATGGTTTAAGCCATCAAGAATGAAAAACAAGTTTAAGACTTTAAGGCTTAAAGGATTATCAATAATTTTGTTACAAAAGTATAGTTTTGTTTTGAGTAATAGCCTTATCTATATTTATTTATTATTATTTATTATTATTTTTCTTAATAAAAATAAATGTGAGCTCTGTTAAATATGTTATTGATGCATTACTAAAGAGTATCCAAGGGATTCGCTAGCATTCATGGCTGCAACCGCACAGTCTGCACTTCATTTGGTATTCTTTCCTCAGTCCAAAAATGAAATTTAAGCAACTTGTTGCAATTACAATACTGTTGATAGGAAAACTTTTAATCGGCTTAATGCATACCGAAACTATACAACTAATTTTTCCGTAGGCAAACCGATAACAGCAGCACAACATCCACGAGCGACCGAAACTTTGTGGTTCGAACTCGATGGCTCTCATACTTGTTTCTTCCATAAACATACACATATGTTTTGTACTCACAGCATGAGTTAAAATATTAGGATTTTTTATAAAAAAATATATTTTTCTACTTGTTGTTTATAATAAATTCCCTTGAAATCGAAGTCTGTAATTAAAAGTAAAACTATTTTTTTAAAACTGCTTTTAGTCTCCATATGTTCTTAAATTCCCCAATGACTCATATTTGTTTACCATATTTCTCCTTTAGTTTCTCCATCAGCATAAAGATTCCTATCTCTGTCGCACTTAGCTGAATGTGCATAAAACTGTAATGGTACATAATTTCAATGCCTGCACAAACTTTAATTAAAACGACTTTGCCGAGCGGTAAACATCAGTGTCCCAGGCGAGAACCATTCACGAATACATATAGAACCAGCGGGAAACATGCAACCCCACATAGATACACAGATACATGACATGAGGCTCCTAATGAAGTGCATGAATACCTTAACAAGATGGAACCACCCAAAATCTATGTGGCAATGTATATGTGTGTGTGTGGGCTCGCACATCCTTGGCTGTGTGCGTGCCCATAATCATTTTGATGGGCACGTAAAATTCAAACTAAAATCACTAGAGCGTTGGCAAACACAGCGACGCATCTGCCACAGGCAAGGAATAGTACAAAAAAAAACACCCACACTATCAGACCATCAGGCAGAGCAAACTAATATACAGCATTCGCACGTGACTTTGATATTGAAAATGCTTAACACGACTGGAAAACATCCGAATGTCGGTACACAAAATAGCAGCTCAACGACAAGAACAACAACCTAGCCCATTTCGGATGTTAAGCGGATTTATGCATAAACTTTTGTCTATTTTTAATAATATTTATTTCTATGGTTTTTGTCCGGAAAGTTTTTGTATTTTATCTCCTTTGCCGTAAGTCAATTTATGACCCATACTTGTTGATACTTACAATTTCAAAACTTGTCGGCCATGACTTCACACAAAACCCACATTAAAGTGTAAATAGTTTTGCCATTGATCAGAGGAACCATTGGGAATACATAGTTGCTGCGAACGTGTTTCGAATTTGTGGGTAAGGAAAGTGCTGGCCTCAGTTATTGGGGAAAGTCTTGACCTCAAGCCAAAGTGAAAATCTATTGAGTTTGTGGTTTCGGTTGTCTTCGTGATTAAAGGGAAACAATAAAACCGGCTGGTCAAGCTTTAACTTATAATAGCTACAGCTGTGCGATAATCTGATGCAATAATTAGGTAATTAATCATATCAGAGGCATTTTCACTCTCCCACACACACAAAGCCAGTCCCCGTCAATTGGCCATTAAGTCGGCCCACTCTCATGCAGCCAACTTGAACCAAGGAGCGTGGGCACAAACTAAACTGCTAATTAAAGACAAACAAAACACTTCAAAAATCACAATGAGGCGGCAAAAAAGGGGATGCCAACCACTTATAGTTATATAAAAAGTTGTAAGGGAAATATTTAATAATAAGCACAAGAAGGCAGACAGAAAATAAAGCGTAAAAATGTTTACCTGTTGAAGACAACGGCGGGTGGGGAAAACCCTTAAGCAAATATGAGAGGGGGTAATGGAATTTATTGTTCAGGTTGCCGGTCAGAAAATGTATTATAATGCAATGAAAAACCATTAAAAAGTACGATCAAATGATGTTCCGTAATAGGTGCTTAACTTTTAATCATTTTTGAAAATTGACAACACATTTATTAACTATTCAATGAAAGTCATTCTCTTCTAACACTAAAAGTATTTTTACCAACTCTAATATCGATTTACTCAGTAAACTTAATGTTATTTCCTACTTTTCTTATTTTCCAATCTTCTTTCGTAAAAAAAAACCAGGAAAACCCTCAAAGAGAATTAAAATCCTAGAACGCCCATAAAACTAAATAACAACCATGAGATGGTTCGCCTGACATACCAATTAGGCTAACACTCTTGATTATGAATAAATTGCGGCAACGAAGAGGGGTCCCGGGATGGGTGCCCAGGACTATAAAGCCAGACGGAGTTGGGTGTTATTAAGAACAAAAGAGGGCAGCTAAGACCGAACAATTTAAAGCTCATCAATTCAGGACAAAGCAGCGCGTTGAAAACAATTGAGCAGTTAATGTTTGTTTACCCCACGTCCGCAAGAAAAAAAATGCCAACAAAAAAAAGCAGATACAAGAGGACGGACTCTTGTGAATTTAAAGAAAAAAAATCCATTTGCGAGTTTGCTTTTCGTTTTTCTTCTTTTCTTTTTCCAAAGGCATTTTGGCGGGAAACGTGCTGGCGGCAGGAACTTTTCATAATTGAAATAAATAAAATACAACCAAGACAAAATTGGAGAAACTGTATATATATATATATATATATATTTTTGGGGTCCATCGGGGAAATCCCCCGATGAGCGGCCATCTATGTTTGTGTATCAATGGAAACTCATTTATTCGTAGGATATTTTATAAATAATGCGGATTCGTTTTATGCCCGCCGGACTCGTTGGCGCTGAAATTTAATCAAGCTTCGACCAGGCGGGCGGTGCAAATAATTTTCGCAAATTCATTTACGCATTTCATTTCCCACACCGCCCTAGTTCGATTCCATCCCCCTTTCACTTCCTCGTCTTGGTTTCATTTTTTTTGCCGCTGGCATGCAAAGCGTTTTTTAATCCCCGGCAACTTCTGGATGCCCGAACAAACGCATTGGCCAATTTGTGGGCAGCTGAAAAAAAAAGAAAAAATAAAGCACGTGGGAGAAGAAAATCTGAGGGCGGTGAGCTCCGAGGAAAATGAATAAGTGAAACTGAAGGTTGAAGGCTATGCCACAGCCCTGTGGCAATTGCAGGAGTTGGCCAACATTGACAAATGGGGCGAGGCCACTGACCGGTTTACTCGGTCATCTATAAGTTCCAGCTGACGAGCTGAAAGTTGCTCAATTTGGGGCCTCGTCCTTGCCGAAAGGCATACGATACTGTGTTGACAATTATCGTAATGAGTCCGCCAGCTAAAAATATCATTTGCCGGAAAAACGTATAAAGTGTAAGTACTTTACAGGCGAGTAAATTAATCTGCTGGTTTCATTTTATTTTTCACATCTAAGTAATCCCATCAAAGAAAATATAAATCGAATACAGCAAAATGATTTTTAAATACATAATTTCGTCTATCTATTTTATCAAAAATTTGAATCGTGAAATATGGTATGAAGAAAAATAATCTGTGAAATATCACGTTTTTAAAGTAATATACGGGAAACACGTATTTACAAAACTACGGGCTATATGGATTGAAAATTAGTGAATTTTCTCTTCACTTTCTATTGGAGCAATTGCAGCAAGTTTTGGAATCTTGATTCGGTCGTTCACTATGTACACCTCTGTGAACTGGTTGCTGTTCACAAATATCAAATTCAAACCGCTTAGGCATTTTAGTGGCTTTTACCTTTGTTATAAAGCAGTTGAATACGAAACAGAATGCCATCAATAAAACTAGAACGCAGCCAAAGCAAATAAGTAGAATGGGAATTTTCCAAACTATGTCTTCTCGGACAATTCTTCTTGGCTTTAAGTTATTCTTTATAAGGCTATAGCACTCATCTGCGCTCATAAGATTGCGATTTTTTTCATATTTACGCTGAACTTTAAAGGCTTCTTTTTTCACAGAAAACTTGGAACGACTTTCTTCGCAAATATTGTTAAACCAATTCATTTTATTAAAATATTTTTTTAAACAGAATATTTATTTTCTTTTCTGATATACTAATCAAGGCTTATTGGATCTCAGTCAGTTTTTAATATTTTGTAAAACTTCTTTACGACTTAACTAAAATAGCTTTAAATAATGTAAGAAAACATATTATCCTTTATTTTTTCATAAAAAACAGTAATTTCTTATCAATACCTCTACTTAATAAATATAACAGCATTTATTAAGGAATACCTATTGACCCTTTTTGGACCCTTTTAAAAAATACAAATTCCAACAACCCGATAAGCTCTCGTAAATCTTGACTTTAAATTTTCTTGGCTTTTCTTGAGTTCAAAGTGAAAGGCAAAGGCAAATGTTTGCAATAAACTACCTAGGCAACTTAAAGCGAAAGTCGAGGACATTCCCATGACTATTGGCGACTGCTTGTTGGGTCTTTTGCCAACACAAACTAAGTAAGTATGTTGATCCAATCAGAGGGAACAGCCGCAACCAATCGTCACAGCGGAAGGAGGCAGATCCAAGCCCCAAGATTCGGTGAATATATTTTCCCTGGGATTTGTGGTGGGACTCAGTTTCGAATTCAGATTCTCCTCCTCGTCGTCGTTGTCGTCTGTCAACTGTCATCAGTTGTGGGTCGGTGGTTCACGTTCCGACCTCTAACCCTTGGTTATTATCATGTAGCTGGGACTGCTGAAGCTCACGACTTGGTCTTACTTTTATTTATTTTCATATTATTCGAGAGGCAGCGTGCTGCTCTACTTTCAATAACTGTGAATAAAACCGAATGAATGAACTGGCTAACCTTGCCGCTGGCTCGACAGTCCGATGGTGCTGGAAAATGAGGCGCTCGTACTTTTCCCATATTTTTTTCTCAGCTTTGTGTTTGGTTTATTAAAATATATACATTTTTTTTCATTTGGCTTCCTTTCTATGCGCAGCAGCATTCTATTTGGCTGTGTCTGTGCGTTTGGCATGCTTTACTCTTTAGCTTGGGAAATTTTGTAGAAAAATGGTTTCTTTTTTCACGACGCCGCAGGTCAAAATGTCAGCAAAAACTGGACAATCTGCTAGATGTACAGTATTTACTCATAAATGGAAACTTTTTTTCAGGATTTTTATAATTTTTTCAAAACAACTTATTGGTATATTTTTAAGTATTTTATGTATTTAACTTCCTTTTATATTTTATTTCCTTTTCTTATTGGAGATATTTTGTAATACAACTATCTCGTACGTATTTATGTGGTTTTTATTAAAAATATATTAAATTGATTTAAGTTGTAGCTGACTTATCTTGTGTTCATATCCAAATGACCACTGTATCTAAGTTGGCTGATTTAATTTTTGTATTCGTTTTAAGGTTTGCGGCTTTTGCATATTTCATGCGCATTTGCATGTTCTTTTTTCCGAGCCTGTTTCGCCCTCGAAGATTTATTTGTCAGATACGCTCTTTTGTTTGATTTATGAAGGTGCCCCCTTAACCTCCATCCGCCAGGTTGAGTGGTCACCGATAAGCTGGAGCTGAAGTTCGAGCTGCCCAGGAGAATTGTGTCAAATCTCTGGGCCTCAGATTCTCCCCTTGACCAGGGGACTCTCTCCTGCAATCCTGCCATGACTCCTGTTCGTCGTAATCCGTAATCTGTAGTCTGTCCAAGTTTCCCACCTGCTGATTCTGTCCATCTGTCCATTTCGAGATGCCCGACAAAAGGCCATTGGATCCACTCCAGCCGGTACTCTACATAGAACATTGCCGATATCGGCAGACATATAGGAAACAGGCATTGCATCTGTATTCTTCGCTAGCCGAGGCTTTGAGGGCCATCCAGCCAAGGGTTAAGCTCCAGCTAAGGATCAATGACAGAGGACCCCCGCAAGATGGATCATTTGAGGTGGCAGTTGCTCTGCAACCAACAGATGACAGTGCTGCCCGCCAAAGTGTATGGACTGGACTGAGGAGAATGCCAAGTGCATCAAAGGTACCCCATGTGGACGACATAATCACTCCGGTTTGCTTTGCCCTTAAACTCAGGGATCCCCACAAAGAATCACATCGAAGGATGCTAACAAATTTACGGCGCAACGAAGGCAGTCGAGTTAGGAGAGGGAAAGACTTTATATAAATCTTACAAAAACGTAATTTATGTTACGTCTTAGCAGGGTAAATTTAAATAAAGTTATAACCGGGTATTTGTATTGTTAGTTTACTCCTTATTTAATATTTTTGCTATAAAGATTGCAATCAAAAATGTCTATCCCAGGTTATGATATCTTTCCTTTAACCCAATTAGAGTCAAGCCAGTCAACCAAAAATTTACTGAGCTAAAAATGTATCTTGCCCTTAAAAAGTAAATTAAAATGGCCAAAAAAAAAAGCCATCAAAAGGTCAGGCTTCATCATTTCGTTAAAGCCAAAGTTCATTTGTAAAGTTAGCCCAACGAATTCCGTTTTTTGGGCAGACACTCAGAAGATAACACTAAAACCCGAAACTAATGAAAAGACAAACTCTGCGCCGGCGAAAAGTGCCACTTGGTGCAACTAAAGTGTGATGTGTAACTGCATACAGGCGGCCGTTATGGCAGCTCCAAAAGAAGCAAATGAAAATTCCAGAAGGCATCCAAAAGTCCTTCGCCTTATTTCCTGCTCATTTTCGACGATTCCCAGTTCTCAGTTAAGATTTTCGGCTCGTAGCAGGGATCTTTGAAGGAGCGACAGAAGCTCAAGTTGAGTGCTGCGTTTCGGCTTCATTGCATCTCGGTGAGCACACAGTGGGCGAAATAAGTTTGTCCCCGGGTAAGGCAGGGACATGGAGGGACGGAAAAGCAACGGCGTTGCATTGGCAAAGGCAAAGAGCACAATAAATCCCCCTTCTTAAAGTAGTTGTATACTATTTTCCTTGCCTGACGGCCCGCCTTTTGCTTTCGTGACTTAAGTTTTCAACACACGCATTGTAGACACATACACACACAGTTACACCGGTGCAGGAACACACGCACACTCATTAAACAAAGAAGCATCGAAGGATCCATAGATACAGTGGTGAAAATAAATATATCTTGAATGCTCGTTTTTATAGTTAATATATATAAAATCGAATAATATATAATTTATGTGCACGTTTATTTTAAGCTTAAATAATTTAAAACAAAAGGTAATATTTTTCCAAAAATCCCATGAATACTACACATAAAATTGCTCAACCAAAACGAGATAATTAACCATTAACAACGTGAGCATAAATAAACGTTAAGCATAATTGTGCAAATAGGCAATACAAATTTAAAAATTTTTTTTACGTCCTACAGTGCACCGTTTCGTGTGTGTGTCCTGACAGGACGTGCCGGACCTGGTACTGAAAGGCAGCATAAGTAGTGGAAAGCGGAAGCATATTAATCTTGCAAACAACAACAGCTAAAACAATAGCAAACAGCAAAGGCCACGAGACATTGCAGTAGAACTATACATGCACTTTTCGTTTTTTCTTCCGCCAGCCAACGGAACATGAAACTAAACAGTTTGTGAGCCCCTCTTTTTTATTTTCATTTTTTTATATTTCTTCACAAAGTAAATGAACTTCATTATAAGTAAAACATCTCTGGAGTTGATTTCTTCTGTTGGCGGCTGCCTTTTTTTATTTTATTTTTCCATCTTCGGCTTTCGGTTTCAGTGTCAGTATTGATAACACAAATGCCGCATTTTGTTGGTGTCTAGCTGCTTGAGCGGCTGCCAAAAAATGTTGCATACTTTTGAGTAGACTGCAATATTTTTAACAGCCCAAAAATCTCGTTTCGCTTAAAGTCTGAATTAAAGTTTATATTACAATTATTATATTACCTATTAGAGCTTAAGATACGTTTACTTGCTAAGAAAAAGATGACAGCATATGCTTTTTAGCCTGCACCCATGATATTCTTTACTATTATCCCAATTATTACTTCCTTGGGTAAAATCTATAACTTTAATCTTGTTAATAAATCAGATTTTATTATTAGAATACATTTATATTTACATCCTCTTAGTTAATTTGAAATTTTAATCTCAAGCTTTAATGACTCCCTTTAATCTGATTAATAAATCAGATTCCACTTACTGAAACCCTTCTTTCTTTCGTGATAATTCTTTCTCCTGCAATTTTAATAATCTTCTTGTCATTTACATTTTTGCTGCCACTGCAAATATTTAAAATAAAAGTGAAAAAAATGAAGAAAAAAATTAAAAAGAAAGGAAAACGAAAGGCAAATTTTATGCTGTTTACGCACATTTTACGACTCATAGTTGAGATCCTTCAAATCCTTCAGCTTCTTGGACATTGTTTTATGAAAAAGGCGAGAAGTGGATGTAAAATGATTTTAATAATATTTCAAATTGACATTGTCGATGGCCCGGATGACATTCAATTAGTGAGCAACACTTTTTCGAGCTGCAACAAATGGTAAGTGATTGGTTTCTGGTTTAGACATCTTTGCTTTTCGATTTTGTTACACTTCATGCGCTCTTTTCTACTGACCCCATTAATCAATTTCGAGAATCCTTGATGGGTGGTTATCATATTTCTTGCTCGTCATACACTACTATCTCTGCCAAAAAATTCCAAAAATTTAATTAAACACAATTCAGATCAAAAAAGCGCTCTCATAATTAAATTAGTTCTATTTTTAAATTCATCTCAATCACTATCCATTTCAAACTGAAAAGTTAATTAAATGTTCCTTTTATATTCATTGATGTATGGATGAAAATAATACAGAAAGCATCGAACACATTTTAAATAACTGAAAATGTTCGTTCATTGTTGCATTCAATTTATATTTGCCAAATATTTTTTAAATGCCTGACCAAAGTGGGAAAGTTTTGAATAGGCTAATTGGCATTGTGTTTTATGTATATTTTGGTGCCAGTTTTTGTTGGCCATGCAATGTTTGCATTGTGTGCATTATTTGGAGGATATTGATATTATTCAAATAATAATCATCAGTATTCTCCGCCTGCCACTTATTTAATTAAAAGAGTTAGCGTTGATACAAGCCACATGTTAACGGCTTTGGTTTTAATCAGCCGTATTAAAACTTTTAAATCTTTACTTGGTTTCACTATTAAGTTTAGCAACAACAAAAACTCCAGAATAGAACAACTGCCGTAAAGTCAATTTCAATTTCAATTAAAAGGCAGAAAATAATCCGGAATATGGCTCGAATACAAATACCATTTTTGACATTTTTCCAGGCCGAATGTTGGTGGTTGGGAGAGGCCAAGGTGAGTGAATGGGAAAGTTCACTCCAGCGCTGCTGACCGATTGACATGTCTCGCAATCTCTGGCAGTCAACCGTGAGACCTTTTCCGATGGCCAAGACATATTCAGATACGATTCGTACATCGGAATCGCAACCACACCGGTCCGTCCTTTGATCTGGTTACCCTGACACATATGGCAAACAGGGTGGCTGGGAAATATTTATTTTACAAATATTTTGTTTAATTGCCACAATTATTTCATAAATGAAATACTTAATATACAAAGTTTCTATAAAGTTCATTCAAAAATTTAGGTCATCGAGCTAATTAGTGATTAGTTAAAAATGTTATAAATGCAACGAAAATAAAATATATACAAAATAGTACGCAAATATGGCTCACAATAATATTAGTAATTAGGCTAAACCTAGTTTCAACAAACAAGCTAATATTACGAGTATAACTGTTATTTTCCAAATATTTGAGCAACTTAATTGGTTTTAAAAAGAAGTCCAACGTTCCGAACAATCCCTTCTTCAATCCTTTATCGCTGGTCGAAATGTCAGGCTATCCGATTGCCAAAGGACATGCCACACACACACACACACACACACCCACAAATATGACAACAACAACTGGCCCTGTCCAAGTGTCATTCGGTGATGATCTATGGATAGGAACATAAATTTTGAGTGCTCAGCTTTGGGGGGCGTGACGGCAGCAAATCGAACATCGATGCTGCGACGAGAATTGAATTGAAATTTCAAATTTCAAAAGTGATTACAACTATACTCGGGCTTTTTGGGGCTCGGCTGTTTGCGAGTTTCAGGCGCTAAAAACTGATTGCCGGAAATGCCTGTAATTGGTTGCACATGCAACCAAATGGGGTGGTGTCTTTATGTTTTTTCGGGGGAAGTGTGTGGTTTACTGCTGATTGGGTGGCCTCCACACATGGGCATTGTGGCTGCAGTGGTTTCGTTGCAGTTTTTAGCATTATTGTTATTATTTTTGCGGCGAACGGAGAACGTTTGTTAATGATTTATGCATTCATTGTGCATAGAAATGACATTGCAGTTGTGTGTGCTGGTTTGTGTGGAGGGTTTAGGGGGGTCCCTTGCTAATTTAAATGCACATTTGGGACACTTTCAGGAGGTTCATGCATAGGGGGAGGTTTTTAGTGGGAGGTGCTGACATCGCAATGCAACCGCATTGCCGTCGACATCGTCGACTTCTGTGATTTATGCTGCGTTTTGGCCATTAGCTTAACATTCTTGTGCCTTCTACAGTGCAGATTTTTCAGTAACAGGAAGAGAGAGCCGAAAGGTAATCTTTTGTAAGAGAAAATTTCCCAAAGAGCCATCACTGTTAGCCGCAGTTTTCTCTCTCTTAGCCACTGTTAACGGATTTAAGAGTTTTCCCAGCTCTTCGACTGTTAGATTTAACATATTTTGGTCGCTTACACTGTTTAACAGCACAACATAAGGTTCGTTGTTCCATTAGTTGGGCATAGGTCAGTAATTTTGGTTGAAATAAATACAAAAAGCAAAGCACGTGGGATCATAAATCACTTTCTTTCGCTTATAGTTCTTCCTGTTTGCAACACACATCTGCATTGAAATTACTCAAGACAGTTTATACTATGAAAAAAGCTGAAGTAAATAACTAAATGATTAAGGCCTTCAAAAGTCACTTGTGCATTTAATGGATTTGTTTTAAAATCTTTATTGTGACTAATTTTAAAAACGCTTCCTAAAACTAACATATTTACCATGAGGTAAAAAATTATCTCGCATTTGATTTATTTAGTTTTAAAGGTTACATTACAATACCTAATTTCTGAATGTCTAAAACTAATTTTCTGTATCTGTACAAAACGATAATAACAAAGATTTACAGCTTTTTCGATAACCAAATTGTAAATTTTATTCTGCTTAAAACCTTAAAATTTTTCAGCAAAC